ATGCGCGTAAAAGTGTAAACAGAAAGTTGGTTGCTAGTCACTGGCAGGTACAAGAATGAGCATGGTGGCGAGGAAAAGCATGGACGTCTTTGTTGCCGATTGCTCTACGAACAGCTTGCCTCTTGCACATATATTATTAAATATTGAATTTAGCTGTACAATTGCTGCTAAAACCGGCAACAAAGCCAGGAAAGTTTGCAGTTCAATTTCCATGTTATTGTTTACATGGTTGTTAAGGATACACAGAGTGAATGTGGGCAGCCAAGCCATCGTTTTCAAGGGTCAAAAACACCGTAGCAAAAGTTATGCATTTTAAAAGCAAAAACGCACTAATGTAAACATAGCCTTAGTTCTAGTTATTTAATTATAAAGGCCAATTCACACAGCACAGGCAAACGCCAACAAACAAGTAGGCTGTTGGATTTAGAATTTTATGAAAAATAACATGTTCACACTGCCACAACAGACACTGACAACATAATTTACTGGTGATAACTGAGATGACACCCCGTTTAAATAAGCAAAGTGGTAGCAATTGGACAGGTAGGATCTAAACCATCTTAAAGCCTGCCCTTGAATACCTATATAGTTTTGTAATCGATCTATGAGTATGTCATGGTCTATATCAGGGGTGGCGAACATCGGTCCTGGAGAGCCGCAGCCCTGCAGAGTTTTGCTTCAACCCTAATCAAACACCTGAACAAGATAATCAAGGTATGAACGGTATAGGAAGCTACAGGCAGGTGAGGTTTAATTAGGGTTGGAGCTGAACTCTGCAAGGCTGCGGCTCTCCAGGACCGGAGTTCGCCACCCCTGGTCTATAGTGTTGAACGTAGCACTAAGATCAAGTAAAACTAGCAATGAGATGCAGCCTTGGTCTGACGCAAGAAGCAAGTCATTTGTAATTTTAACAAGTGCAGTTTTGTGCTATGGTGGGGACTGAAACTTTTTCTTAATTTTTTGCAGGAAGGAGCACAATTGAGCAAAAACAACTTTTTCTAAAATTTTAAACATAAACAGAATATTTGAAATGGGTCTGTAATTTGCCAGTTCATTAGGATCTAGTTGTGGTTTCTTAATAAAAGGCTTAATAACCACCAGCTTGAATGGTTTTGGGACGTGACCTAATGATAACGATGAGTTAATAATATTGAGAAGCAGTTCTTCTGCTACTGGTAGCAACTCTTTCAGTAATTTAGTGGGTACAGGATCTAACAGGCATGTTGTTGGTTTAGATGCAGTGATAAGTTTATTTAGCTCTTCCTGTCCTGTATTTGTAAAGCACTGCAGTTTTTCTTTGGGTGCGATGAATGAAGCTGAAGTTCTAAACACTGAAGAATTTAAATTTGTTATTGTATTTCTGATGTTATCTATTTTATCAGTGAAGAAATTCATAAAGTCATTACTATTAAACTGTGCGGGAATATTTAGATTGGGTGGTGTCATATTTGTTAAACTAGCCACTGTGCTAAATAAAAACCAAGGATTGTTTTGGTTATTTTCTATGAGTTTGTGGATATGCTCGGCTCTGGCAGCTTTTAGAGCCTGTCTATAGCTGGACATACTGTTTTTCCACGCAATTCTAAAAACTTCCAAGTTAGTTTTTTCTCCATTTGCGCTCAAGATTACAAGTTTCTTTCTTGAGAGAATTGGTATTACTGTTGTACCATGGCACAGTACGTTTTTCTCTAACCTTTTTCAATTTGATGGGGGCAACAGCTTCTAATGTATTAGAAAAGATAGTGCCCATTATCTCTGACAATTAGTGCTTCATCAACATTTACCAATAGGTCTGAAAGGAAATCTGCAAATTCTGTTAGGAAATCTGTATATGGCCCTGGCGGTCTATACACAGTAGGCAGAGCAAGAGATACGATAGATTTCTTTTGCATATCTGACAGTGTAACATTAAGCATTAGTATTTTGAATGAGTTAAACCTGTATCCTGTCTTCTGAGTAACATTGAGAATCACTATAACACCGCCACCACGACCAGTCTGAAGGGGTTCATGCTTATAACAGTAGCTTGGTGGAGTAGACTCATTTAGACCAATATAATTATCAAAACTATTATCTGTGATCATTTTATTTACAATAACTGCTTTGGGTGCGAGTGATCTAATGTTTAGGAGCCCAAACTTTAAAAATGTTTTTTGTTCATTTATTTCGCTTTTTTTTTTATTTAATCAGGATCAGATTTTTTCTAGAGCCTGAATTAAATTAATATTTTGACCTCACTATTCGGGGAACAGACACAGTATTTATAGATTGGACAGCACAAGTACTTCTATCGTTCTTCTATCACTGAATGCAGCTCGAACGTGTCCTCACCTGCACTCAAAGGTAAACACACATCCACCATTAAAGCAAGCAAAAGTGAGTAAAACAATGAAAATGTGTGTAAATAGAGTATTAGCAATGTAAGCGAGATTAGCGGCAACCACACTGGCGATGCTAACGGGCTATAAGCTAATAGCGGACTTGGGAAATAAAATGTAAAAAACTAGTGATAACAAGGCCCTCTGATTGTTTTTGTTGAAGAATACGATAGGGGATATATTCACACATTATAGAAACGGAAATGATGGTGTATAAAATTGATTTTAAGATAAAAATAGACGATAAAGAATTAATTTGACGGAGCTCAAACTCAAAACATGTGGTAGCAACAAACAGGAGGTGATGTGTAATATCAAGTTGGCCACCAGCTGTAATATGAAGTTGGCCACCTACAGCTGTTTCCAATTAGAAGGACTATTTAAATTGCACTCTTTCACTTTCACATTGCAAAGTATTGTTTTGCTGTTGCGGACTCTACCAAGCGTTTTCATTGCCATTGCCATTATATTGTTTATTTTGTACTTTGGACTGCTCACTTGGATTTTGACCAGAGCCTGTTCTTTTGTATTACTCTTTTGCCTCTGCCTTGGATTACAATGTTTGCTGGATCTTGACCTTGCCTGTTTTGACCACACCGTGTGTAAATAAAGCTCGTACATGGTTCTATCTATAGAGTCCCCATATAGCAATAGTTTTGATCAAACAATTAAATGTCAAACATCGATTTAACCATTGATACTTATAAGTTAAAGTAAATACATTAGAAAACGGCACACTTTCAAGGACGCACATTTAATACATTGGTGGAGTAAGAACATAAGGTAGCCTAAAGGTATAGTCGCACACCGGACGAGAAACGCAGCACCGCGTCTAGGACAACTCACAGGTATTGCACCCAGTTCAAGACAGCAGTCCAAAACAGTTAAATCTAAAAGTTAATTTCAGGAATTAACAAAGTTGCGTCTATGAGTTTGATACGGTGTTTGACAAAACAGCAAACGGAAAGAGAAAGCTCGATCTATAGGCTATTATTAGCTCTCAAGCATACAGACAGAAAGACAAACGTTGTGCTGAAAGATGCAAAATACACAATCTTCCAGCCTAGGATGAAGTCATTATGTACATTAACAATAATGTAGCGAATCAGTTCAAAGGGGAAATATGAATAATTAATTATAACAAGTTACAATTAATGATAAATATTTAGATCCGCTGTAAGTACTTACTTGACATCTCGGTGTCAACTGTCTGTCAATTCTAAGAATGTTAATTTCCTGGTCAAGGAAAATAACTTTCTTATTGTACAATACTACTCCGAGCATGTAGCACAAATCTGCATGATTAGGGATTCCAGTTATGAGCAAACAATGAACAACCTCAAGTGTGATACAAGTAAGACTTTATTAACTACATAAACACTTAAACTAGAAATCAGTTCAAAGGGGAAATATGAATAATTAATTATAACAAGTTACAATTAATGATAAATATTTAGATCCGCTGTAAGTACTTACTTGACATCTCAGTGTCAACTGTCTGTCAATTCTAAGAATGTTAATTTCCTGGTCAAGGAAAATAACTTTCTTATTGTACAATACTACTCCGAGCATGTAGCACAAATCTGCATGATTAGGGATTCCAGTTATGAGCAAACAATGAACAACCTCAAGTGTGATACAAGTAAGACTTTATTAACTACATAAACACTTAAACTAGTCTAACATACACTCTCTCTCTCACACACACACACACACACACACAGTTGGCATAGGAAAAGGGGTTAAAGCTTAAGCAGTAAAGAGAAGAGAAATAAAGACATGAAGCTATGGTACAATTTGATATTCAGCAGATCTACAGCATGAAGGAAACATCAGTTTCTTAGTTCAAACACACCTTTGTAAAAAGGTGCAAATTATACTTAAGTCCCACCTCTCAGGATTTCCAAGCGGGAGGTTGGAAATACTGGGGAGTTTTATGACCCTTTGTCTGAGAGCATGGTAATTTGGATATGGAACTGGATTGGATGTTGATATGCAAACTATTAAAGATTCTTAGAATACTAACATGTTGCACATATTATAGGTATCCACATATTATATACACTCTCAATTAGATAATCCAAAGACAAATTCATAGAGACCAAACATGGTATCGGTGGGGTTATATTAACTAGTGATCTATCATCACACACACACACACACACACACACAAAAAACGTATACAATTCAAAAGACAATATACAAGAACAGTAATGGTTTACACAATGTCCTGAGGAGATGTGTGTTCAGTCACAGAAAAGTTTTTCCCTGAATTAATTAGAGAAGAGTCCATTTTTATGGGCATTGTGTGTCTTTCCTAAGGATAAATGAATTAAGAGTTGCTCTGCCAGCATTCCTTTGAGCAATAAAACCAGGCTTATCAGCATTGGTTGCCATGGAACCAGAGGCCTGTTCTGCCTTTTTGTGGTGTTAGCCAGCATTTCGGGGAAGGGTCCATTGAGCCCTCATAGTTGTCTTGTTGATTGAGGGGTATTACGGAGTATTTGTTAAATAACAAAAAAAATTAAAATTGTGTGTCTGTGTAACGGGGTTGACGAGACGTGAGACATGTGAATCCGTCTGAAAGCTTTCATTTCAGAGACGTGGTCATAACAGGCAGGGTCGAACAATGGCAAACAGGTATGAGGCAGGCAAAACACAAGAATAGTCCTAGGGCTAGCGTAGGTCAACGATCGGCAGACAGAATCACAGGGGCGAGACGAGGATCAGAAACCGATAAAACAGGCAAGGCAAGGCAAAGGCAAAACAAGGAAACACAGACTCGGAACAGGGAACAGGTTAAACAATACTCAGCAGAGAATGGTAGTTTGAGTGAGTGTTATATAGTGAGTGAGTGAGTGATATGAAACAGCTGTGCAATCAGTGCTGTGTGCAATCAGTGAAACAGCTGTGCAATCAGTGCAATGAATGGGATATGTAGTCAGGGGTGATATGCAACAGTTTGTGTTGTGCGAGAGTAAATGTAATGAAAGGGTGAACTCTGGTGGTGATTGAACAGAAGTCCATGGACAGGATTCGTGACAGAGCCCCCCCCCCCCAAAGAGCGGCTTCCAGACGCC